AAGGCCGCAGGGCGTTGGGCTCCGTGGGACAGCCACAGGGTGCGGGACTCCGTGGGAAGGCCGCAGGGCCTGGGCTCTGTGGGAAGGCCGCAGGGCGTTGGGCTCCGTGGGAAGGCCGCAGGGCTCCGTGGGAAGGCCGCAGGGCGTTGGGCTCCGTGGGACAGCCACAGGGCGCGGGACTCCGTGGGAAGGCCGCAGGGCGCAGGGCTCTGTGGGAAGGCCCCAGGGCGTTGGGCTCCGTGGGACAGCCACAGGGTGCGGGACTCCGTGGGAAGGCCGCAGGGCTCTGTGGGAAGGCCGCAGGGCTCCGTGGGAAGGCCGCAGGGCACCGGGCCTCGGTTTGGTACCGGCAGGGCCGGTGGCCTTGGTGGGTCTCTGCACAGTAGAGATGCTGTTATGTACCCCGGGTTTCCTGGCCAGGCTCAGTGCTCCCTGGGAGCCCCTCTGGGTGCCGGTGCACAGCTGGCTGCCACATGCCTCAGCAGCTCTTCACAGTGAGATCAGCCCTCACCCCGTGGGCTGTGGCCAGGGTGGGGCCTCGCCAGTGGGGGTCCAAGCTTTCTGAAAGGCCTGAAGTTTCAGCATGAGTCCAGCCAGCTCCAGCCTGCTATGGAATCCAGCCTCCAGGCTCCTGGTTGGAGGCATAGTCTGGGGAAGGGAGAGCTGTCAGGGAGTCCTGGGTGCGTCCCCAGCCTTCCAGGACCCCCTGCAGTGGGGGAAGGAGCTGGCCTCAGGTGGGCACCATGTGTGTTGGGGGGGCCTCCCTGGGGCACTTTCCTGGTGTGGGGTGACAGCATTCTCACCATCTTGGGCTATGGGCAGCACCCCAGGGCTCTGACAGATGCGAGGCCTGCACAGGGCTGGCCAGCCCAGTCAAGCTGACCCCTCGCAGTGCCACCCTTGGTGTCCTGGAACCGGCCCTTGAATAACACTCCTGCGGTGTCCCTGGCTGACGTCCAGCCCCAGGACAGTGCGAGAGTGCAGACTCATCAACCTGCGGAGGCTTGCAGACACGGTTGCAGAGGGGTGGTGGGCAGAGGTGGCTGTTGGTGGCTGATCAAGGCCGGTCCATTACCACCGCTTGGCCCAAGGCCAGTCCGCTGCTACCTCCAGGCCAAAGCCAGCCCATTACCCCTCCCGGTCCCCCCCCAGCCCATTACCCCTCCCGGCCCCCCAGCCCATTACACAGCCTCAGACACTCCCTCAGGACTGCAGCACCCAGTTGCCAAGAGACGCCCAGGAAAGACTTAGCTACACGAGGCCCATAGAACGCAGCTCCTGGTCCCACTCCCTGCCTGGGTTGGCTAAGGACACAGGAGCACAAGCACACGTGAACACACACACACGTACGCGGACGGCAGATCCACTAACATACAGAGCATCAGGCCTGCCTGGCATGTCCCTCTAGAGATGGGACGGACGCCCCGCCCCAGCACCCCACCCCCTTGGTGGCTCTGTGCCCTCTGGATACCACAGACACCACCCAACCACAGACACCACCCAATCACAGACACCACCCAATCACAGACACCACAGACACCACCCAATCACAGACACCACCCAATCACAGACACCACAGACACCACCCAATCACAGACACCATAGACACCACCCAATCACAGACACCACAGACACCACCCAATCACAGACACCAC